CCACGTGGTTCAAACTTTGTTGACCAAAAGCAACCTAGTTCCTGGCCTCTACAGCCGTATTACACCGGCAGTTGGATACTCTAGAAGTAGCATAAATACCAATTAATGATTCAGTTATATATATAAATTCACGCTGCATGCATCATTTTTGGTTCGATAACTTTCCGCCTAATAAGAGGGGAACCGCCTTAAAAGAGACACTTTGCGCTATCGCACAATACTCTCTTAAAAGGGTACCCTTTTCTGCAAAGTGGCCCGTCTTCTTTTCCCCGGGCAGCTTTGCTTACTACTTTGCGGGTGTGCACGTGAAAACTGAGATTGTGAGAAATTAAGCTATTTATTTAGTATTCATTTGCCTGTAGCTCCGTGTCGCACCATGTCGCAGTTGACCACTGTCGTTTTTCGGCCGACTCAATCGACCGTCTGTTCGACTCAGTCGACTTCTGTTTCTTCTGTTTTAGCCTTTACGGCACGTTATGTCTGCTTCTCCCACCAGTTGCAGACCCTACCCTGTACACTTATACTGTAGTTGGCTGAAACGCATTTTATGTTGTCCCCACGTAGAAGCGGGTTCATCACCGTACATTTTGGTATCCCCCAATCCAACCATAATTCCAGTTACAGTATTTTCAAAAAAGTTTCCGGAGAAAAAGTCAGTCTTAGTCCTGCTAGTCGTGTCCGGAAAATGTCCACTTTTATTTTGCGCGCAGAGCGCGAAAATATGAAAGTTACGAAACAGGAAGATTCATTCATTTAGTCAAGCTCCAAGTCCGCTACCGGTACTACGCTGTACGGCTGTCTAGAAACAAAGCACCACCACTGTATTACTCAAAAGAGCTTTACCTGTGACACTGTTCTTTCGATTATGTTGTCTGCTCTCGCCTTCGGTTCTCGCACTCTGCAATCGGCTTCTCGAAGTCGCAGGTTTTCCGCCTTTGCACCACCGCGCTTGTTTGATTACGATACTATCACCAAGAATTTGGCAGTGACAGATGCAATCGATTCGGTGGAAGCAGCTTTTGGCGCTCTCGCCAGGGGGAAGGTAGATGTCCCAATGCCAATGCATATTGGGATTGACGAATCTGATGCTGCAGGCCCCGGTGATTGTCACATCAAAGGTGGGTATGTCAGTGGAACCAAGACCTTCACTGTCAAGCTAGCCTGCGTGAGTTTCTATAAGAATGTTGAAAAGGGACTACCGCCAGGCTGTGGTGTCTTCGTTGTTGTTGATGCTGTCACAGGAGCTCCACTGGCAATTTTTCAAGAGAATAGATTCATGACAGATCGTAAGTACCCTGCAAGGGATAATGCTGGTGTTCCGAGACAATAAATGCTCATCGATGCTTTATCCCAAAGTGCGCACCGGTGCTGCTGGTGCAGTAGCGATGAAGTACACTACCCGTGATCAAGGAAACACTGTTGGTTTCATTGGATGTGGGGCTATTGCCCGAAATATGGCGCGGGCTGCAGCTTCAGTGCGGGACTTTCAAGGAGTTGTCTATGCATTGGATGGTGCCGAGGACTTTGCTAAAGAAATGTCGGCGGAGCTAGGCATTGAATTCTCGGTTGCTGGTTCTGGAGAAGAGCTCTGCGAAAAGTCCAACGTGATCTATACGCAAACACCTGGCTCGGACACTGTGCTTGAGCTTGACTGGCTCCAAAAGGGAACCACTATCATTGCTTCGGGAAGTGATCAGCCAACCAAGCAAGAGATCCCTTCAGACGTCTTGAAGGCAAGCAAATACATTCCCGACTTGGTAAAGCAAACATCAAAAGTTGGGGAGCTACGCGGGGCCATTGAAGATGGCTTGATGTCCGAGGAAGATGTTTACTGTGAGGTAGGGACTTGACGAAGATTCGTTTCGTTTACCTTTATTCTCATCTCACCTTTGGTCTCTTGTTCTTTGAAGTTGGGAGATCTCGTGAATGGAAAAGTAGGTCGAGAAACAGATGAGCTAATTGTTGTTGATCTGACTGGTACTGGTGCTCAAGATGCAGCCATTGGGCAAGTTGCCTGGGACAAGTTGGGTGCTCTATAAAACGAACAGTTCAATGCGCGCTTTAGTATTGAAAGATACAGTAAAACTGACATATTCATTGCAAAGTCGTCAATGTGACTCTGGAGAACCCTTTCAACAACTTTGTAGCCTCCAGTAATAAAACACAATTCTGTACAATTTTTTAAATAGAAACAGGGCATAAAGATCAACTTCAAATGTAGATTTTATTGAGTAGAATAATAACATTGTAATACTATGTTTTCTCAGATGAATGACTTGTCGTATTGAATCTATACGAAAGACTCTTCTCCTGGAGAACAACAGCCACAGCTAATGGTTGCCTTGTCGACAGTTGCCAACTCCAACTGTTTGTTGTACATCAAGTCACAGATGTGCTCGTCAATGGTTTGTTCATCGAACGAGTTGTAGTGAAGAGTCAACAATTGCAATCGGTTCAGATCACCAAGCTCCTTTGGTACCTCTCCAGTGAGAAGGTTATCGTGAAGGAGAAGCTCGCTGATGCGAGGTGGCAATCCAAGAGTTGGAGGAATCTTTCCAGTGAACTTGTTATCGTCGAGATGCAATCTGTGCAACTGTTTGAGGTTACCTAAGTTCTCAGGAATAGGTCCAGACAAATTGTTATTCTCCAAGAACACCACTTGCAAGTTGGGCATTCTGGTGTCAATATCCGTGGGGATTGTACCAGTGAAACCATTGTAGGCAACATCAAGGTATACCATATCAGGGTATTCCCAGATTTGGTGTGGGAAGGATCCCTCGAATTGATTGAATGGAATCACAAGAGTATCAAGCTCCTTGAACTTGTCAAATAGTTGTGGCAATGTACCAGACATCATGTTATTTGCGAGAGTGAATTCGTAGAGATTGGAAAGAATGAACAGCTCGACTGGCAAAGTACCAGCCAAACCATTATCAGTCACACGGAGCATCTCCATTTGTTCACGTCTGTTGCACGGATCAAGTCCGACCTTGTTGTACCAATCGCACTCGTGAAGGTCGGACAACCAAGAATCACCTGTAATCCAGTCTCCACCGTCCATCTCACAGAAGAAGACACTCATGGCGTATCGTTGGCGGATACGCTCTGCCTTGAACTCGAGAATGTCCTTGCCTGTACGCAACCAATCACGAGCCTTTGTTTGACATGTTCCAGGCAAGTCAAACAATCCCAAAACATCGGGAGGAAGAACAGGTGAAAGACCATCCATGATGATCTGACAGTTGGCATCAGTTGAACAATTGGGTAAAGCTCCTGGATCAGGGTAGAGCCTATCAGTGGTAGAACCAACACTGTTGTTATTTGCAAATTGACTTGCAACTGCGGCACCTTGTGGGGCAGTTCCACTGGTCATTGCACCACCAGCAGCAGCACCAAGAGCGAGCATTGTCCATGCTGCACATGGTACGCCTGTCACAGGTCTTGGCTTGTCTTCACCTAGTTCGGTGTATTCAGAGATATCGTCGAAAGGTTTGTTGTATTCACCTGGCTCGTCGTCGTCCAGAGAGGTTGTAGGAAGTGTAACCAAAGCATCCTCCGGCCTGTCAAATGGTCGGGCACCAGACCAATCGTAGTTTGGCTCCTCCTTGCTCCATAGGGCATCATTGGGCTTTGTGACCATCCAGTCGTATTCAGGTTCCTCCTTTTTCCACAGAGCATCTTCGGGCTTATCACTACTCCAGTCGAAGTCAGGTTCAACAGCACGTAATTGATCAGGGCGACCTCCAGACCAGTCGTATTCTGGTTCTTCCTTTTTCCATTGAGCATCCTCGGGCTTGTCAGAAGACCAATCATATTCAGGCTCTTCATCAAATTCCTCGGGCATCTTGGATCTGACTTCAGGTGTGGAAGAAGTTGGAGTCTCGAAAGGCTCCTCTTCGTACCATTCGTCAGATTGTGGGTTGCGTTGCCAGCCAAATTCCTCCTCTTCATCAGGAGGCGAACCATCACGTGGAATCAATCTTGCATCAACTGGGCGGTCGAACAAGTCTTCCTCAACAGGGTTAATTCCAATGGACTTGCTGCTGAAGTGACGTTGCCAGTTCATCTCAGGTTCATCAAATTCATTTGGCCTGCCATCACGGGGGATCGATCTCAAGTCTCCTGGGCGATCATACACATTGTCCTCGTCAGGAACTCCAGGAATGCTCTTGAACGAGGGCTGACGCTCCCATTCGAACTCTGGGTCATCGGAATCCTTTGGTCTACCATCACGTGGGATAGATCTTAGATCACCGGGTCTATCAAAGACATTTTCTTCTTCAGGGGCACTAAGCTGTTTTGGACCTACTGCGTTTCTACCCCAGGTCATCTCAGGATAGCTTTCACCACGAGGACGTCCATCTCTAGGAATAGATCTCAAGTCGCCAGGACGATCGAAGACATTCTCCTCGTCAGATTGTTCGTCTGGGCTCGAAACATCATTTCTATTCCAGAACATCTCTGGGTAGTCCTGATCGTGCGGGCGACCAGTACGTGGAATCGACCTCAAATCACCTGGGCGATCGAAGACATTCTCTTCATCCGGTTCACCTTGGTTCTTCCAAGCTGGGTTTCTGTTCCAGCTCAGGGCGGGGTAGCCTTCTTCATGGGGTTTGCCAGCACGAGGTATTGACCTGATGTCTCCTGGTCTATCAAACACATTTTCCTCCTCAGGAACTAAGGATCTACTACTCGGCGACCGAGACCATTCGCCGATGCTATCTTCGTCTTCGTCATCAGGGTTACCGTCACGTGGAACGTCACGGACTGTAGGACGAATGAAAATGTCTTCGTCGTCTGGGACTCCAGGAATGACCTTACCACCGCTTCTCTTCCATCCAAATTCAGGATCGTCTGAGGTCTTAGGCTTACCACCTCGTGGAATGGATCTAAGATCACCAGGACGGTCAAAGACATCTTCCTCGTCAGTTGGTGCGTAGTCGGGGAAGACAGAACGAATCCACATAAGTTCGTCTTCTTCATCATCTTCCTCTGGTCTCTTTGATCTCAACACCCTGTTCGATTTGGGTGGTGCCTCAAATGGTTGCACTACTTCATATTCATCTTCTGGAACATGTCTTGCCCACATGAACTCGGAATCATCTTCCGGCTTGGTTTCACCATGTCGGGGAATTGATCGGACGTCTCCGGGTTTGGTGAAAGGCATTTCTTCATCTGGAACACCTGGCACCTTTTGGTTTGGATAGCGAGTCCAGTTAAGATTGTCCTCGGTTCCCTTGTCATCCGAATCACGCGGCTTTGGTACCGAGCTCAACAGATCCGGCCTGTCAAATGGAAGCGCTTCATCTGTAACACCAGGAACACTATTGTTTGGATAGCGAGTCCAGTCTGTTTCAGGTTCTTCCTCGCTCTTTGGAAGACCGTCGCGTGGAATCGATTGAACTTCCCCTGGTCTATCGAAGGGTAGTTTCTCTTCATCCAATTGAGTTCCAACTCCAGGGTGACGAATCCAATCAAGATTATCATCATCATGTCCAGGGCTATCCTCTCGAGATGTTGGGATAGAATTCAACATACCAGGCTTCTCAAACGGATGATAGTCTTCATCAGAAACTCCTGGAACTGAATCATTTTTGTCTCTTGACCAATTCATCTCACCATCAGCCTCACGTGGTGGTCCATCTCTAGGGATAGAATTGACATCACCTGGCCTGTTGAAAGGAAGACTGTTGTCCTCAATATCCATCGGGCTTCCTGGATACCGCATCCAGTCAAGGTTATCATCGTCAGGACGAGAGTGCTCATTTCCTCCCTTTGGAATAGCACTCATCATGCCAGCGATTTCATATGGCAACTCATTCACCTTCGCTGATGGAACATCGTTATTCCTCATCCAGTCTAGACTCCCTTCGATATCACGAGCTCGGTCCTCAGGTGTTTGGCGTCGCTTTTGAGGCAACAGCTGGTCAATAGTTGAGAATTCACCAGTTGGATCCTTTGTTGCATTCTTTCCGCTTCGCATCCAATCCAATACTGCATCTTGGTCCTCCTTTCTGTCCTCAGGTGTTCGCTTTGAAACTGGAATTGAACCAAGTTTCTCGAACACTCCTTCATCATCGACGATGTCGTCATCAACTGGGTGATTTCTGTGCCAGTCGAGCGCACCTTCAATATCTCGTGCACGGTCCTCCGGCTTCTGCCCCTTCTTCTTTGGAAGCATTTGATCCATACGGGAGAACTCTCCTGTTGGATCCATTTGGTCGTCGCTAGGATTTCTTAGCCAATTCATCACATCATCGGTTTCTTGCTTTCGATCTTCAGGAGTCTTCTTGGAAACAGGCAAACTAGAAAGCTTGTGGAATGTTCCTGGTGGGACATCATCACTGGGCTTCACACCAGTGTTTCGCATCCAGTCCAAGGCACTCTCGATATCTCGAGCGCGATCCTCGGGCTTCTGGCCCTTCTTCTTTGGTAGCATCTGGTCAACCCTGGTGAATTCTCCAGTTGGATCATCTTGATCATTCTTGTTTGTTCTCATCCAAGTCAAGATGTCGTCAACGTCACCGCTACGCTCTTCTGGTGTACGGCGAGAAATCGGAACTGATCCAAGCGTCTCAAAAGCGCCTTCTGGAGCATCGTCACTAGGTTCGACACCTCTATTTCGCATCCAATCAAGTGTTCCTTCGATATCTCTGGCACGATCATCGTTGGACTGCTTCTTCTTTGGAAGAAGTTGATCTACCTTAGAAAATTCGCCTTCAGGGTCCTCAGATTTGGGTTTTCCATTACGGAGCCAATTCATGATAGCATCAACTTCTCCCTTCCGTTCTTCGGGGCTTCGACGAGAAATTGGAACTGATGCCAATTTACTTAGAGGCACGGTGTTCTCATCTGGTTCGTCGGATGCCCCATTACGCACCCAGTCAAGAGCGCTTTCAATTTCCTTGGCACGTTCAAGGGGGCTTTGGCCCTTCTTCTTGGGTAGCATTTGATCGATCTTTGCGAACTCTCCATTGGTGTCATCGAGATTATCCTTGCCATTGCGCATCCAGTTCATGACGTTATCAAGTTCTTCGCCACGATCTTCTGGTGAACGACGCGAAGTTGGCACAGATCCGAGCTTCTCGAAAGTGCCTTCCGGAGATTCGTTGCTGGGCTCGACACCGCTGTTGCGCATCCAGTCGAGAGCACCCTCGATATCACGGGCACGATCCTCAGGCTTCTGTCCCTTCTTCTTGGGCAACATTTGGTCGATACGAGTGAATTCTCCAGTTGGGTCCTCTTGGCTTGTCTTTCCATTGCGTTGCCAGTTGATGACAGCGTCAACATCCTTCTTGCGTTCCTCAGGACTACGGCGAGAAATTGGAACGGACCCAAGCTTCTGGAATGTGCCTTGTGGGACTTCTCCACTGGGTTTCACATCCTTGTTCCTCATCCAATCAAGAGCACCTTCAATATCTCTTGCGCGATCTTCTGGTTTTTGTCCCTTCTTCTTCGGAAGCATCTGGTCCACTCTGGTGAATTCTCCTGTTGGATCAAGCTTCTGATCCTGTGGGTTTCGCAACCAGTTCAAAACATTGTTTGTTTCCTTCTTACGATCTTCAGGTGATCTCTTGGAGACTGGAACAGAAGGAAGCTGACTGAAAGATGGGTTTAGCTCGTCGTCGGTGGGCGAAACTCCGTTGTTTCGCATCCAGTCAAGGGCACCCTCAATCTCACGAGCACGGTCCTTGGGCTTTTGTCCATTTTTCTTTGGCAACAACTGGTCAACACGAGTGAATTCACCAGTTGGGTCAGCCGAATCATCTTGAGGATTACGCATCCAGTTCATGACAGCATCGACGTCTCCTTTGCGTTCCTCAGGGGTGCGACGAGAAATTGGGACCGAACCAAGCTTCTGGAAAATGCCTTCTGGGGCATCTTCACTGGGCGCGAGACCCTTGTTTCTCATCCAATCCATGGTGCCCTCAATTTCTCTGGCACGGTCTTCCGGCTTTTGTCCCTTCTTTTTGGGCAGAACTTGGTCGATCTTTGTAAACTCGCCAGTAGGATCAAGGCTCTTGTTCTGTGGGTTGCGAAGCCAGTTCAAAGCATTGCCAACGTCATCGGCACGTTCCTCAGGACTACGGCGAGACACTGGAAGGGAGGGAATCTTTTCAAAGTCCGCGGGCGGCACACCAACGGAAGGAGTGACGCCATTATTTCGCATCCAATCAAGTGCACCTTCGATTTCACGAGCGCGGCTATCAGGTGATTGCTTCTTCTTCTTTGGCAACAACTGATCGACCTTGCTGAATTCACCAGTTGGATCCATTGATTCTGGCTTGCCGTTACGCATCCAACTCAACACAGCATCAACATCGCCCTTCCTTTCTTCGGGAGATCGACGGGTCGAACCGAGCAAACCAACGGAATCGAATTCTCCGTCTTCTTCGGATGGTCCCGAACCAATAGCATTGTTTCGGCTCCAATCCAAAGCTTGCTCGATTTCTGTTGCTCTGTCTTCTGCGGTTTGTCCCTCTCTTTTTGGAAGAGCTTGATCAAAACGAGTAAACTCGCCAGTTGGATCAAGCTTTATATCAGGGTTGCGTAGCCAGTTCATGATACCATCAACATCGTCTTTGCGCTCTTCTGGAGTGCGAATAGACGAAGGAATAGATGGAAGTACATTGAAAGGTTCGTCAGACTCATCATCCACAGTGACACCCATGTTGCGCATCCAGTCAACGGTGCTCTCGATTTCACGGGCACGATCCTTGGGCTTTTGTCCTTTCTTCTTTGGCAGCATTTGGTCAACTGTAATGAATTCTCCAGTTGGATCCATTGAATCATCTTGAGGATTACGCATCCAATTCATGATGCGGTCAACATCGTCCAACCGATCTTCTGGAGTTCGACGAGAAATTGGAACAGAACCAAGTTTCTCTGGACCCAGAGCAACATCCCCCTCTGCGGCCTTCACACCGACAGATCTCATCCAATCAATGGTGTTTTCAATGTCACGGGAGCGATCCTTGGGCTTTTGTCCCTTCTTCTTGGGCAACATCTGGTCAACGCGAGTGAATTCGCCGGTTGGGTCGATGGCGGGATTGCAATCCTGTCTCAACCAACCCAAAATATCATCAGTGTCGGCCTTACGGTCTTCAGGAGATCTTCTAGTGACTGGAATGGACGGCAACTTTTCAAATTGAGGTTGCATATTGACGTCTTGAGGAGAAACATTATTGTTTCTCATCCAGTCAAGGGCACTTTCAATCTCACAGGCGCGGTCCTTTGGCTTTTGTCCCTTCTTCTTGGGCAACATTTGGTCAATACGAGTAAAGTCTCCAGTTGGATCCTCAGACTCGGTCTTTCCGTTGCGCAACCAGTTCATGACACCATCAACATCT